ACAACCCTCCCTGCTGCAATTTCCTACCATAAAGGGAGTTTTTGCTCATTGAAAAATAGCAAAAAGTAGATAGTTTATTAATGCCAACTATTTGAGCAGCCAGTTGAAATGGAGGGATGGAAATAAACACTCCTGCAATTTCTTCTATTCATGGAAAGAGACATAGTTCCTTGTGTTATCTAAACCCCACACTGCCACACAAATGCCACTACCCCTTCCTGAACACTTTCCCTTCTATGTCTGCTGTATGACCTCAATAGTGTTTCCTGACCCTTTGGAGGTGTAGACTCTACAGACTCTATGCATCATCTGACAAAAGCACATGGACCTGTTCCTCGCAGCCCCAATGCACTTAGGTAAACACATCCAGTTTTGGTAATAATTTTAGGGAGGGCTTAATGACCCTCTGGAGTCTTTGAGGGGCCTTAAGAAATCCTTGTTAATGTTCTTTCTTTTTCTTATAATCTAGAACTTGTAAGCTGTAGGAAAATCATCTTTGATTTCTTATTTGAGGTTTAAGCCGTGAACACTGGTTGACATCTGACAATAGCCCACAGCAAATGAAATGAATTTCTCATCAAACATTGTTTTAATGCATACTACATATACCATGCCAGACAACCTGGGAGTATCTGAGATGCCCTTATGCCGAAGCATACAGTTTAGGTGGGGACAAAGTGAAGCTCATGTAAAATGGTTGGTTGAGCACAAAATGGTAAGCCCTACTCTGTAGAGTTTAGAAGACAAAATAATCTCATTGGGTCAGAGCAATCAAGAAAAGTCTTTGTAAGGGTGGGAGAAAACAATCTATCACTTGAAGCATAAATAAGCCTTAGGTAGGTGGAGGAAAGATACAAGGATGAGGAAGGATACTTTGAGCAAGGGAGCAATGTATGAGCAATGCTGTTGGAGAGAATGTCAACTCAAATAAGCAAGAATGTGGACAGCAATGAGTGTTTGTAGCACATTTTTCCTGTTTGTAAGCATCACCTGACAGATGGTCAAAGATGGTGGTTCTCTAGGTCTGTTTCTGATGAGGAGGCATGGTTATATAACCAGTAACCCTAAACTGGCCCCAATTTGGAATTACAAATACGTACGTCATTTATGGAACAATGTTTTGTATTCTCAGCTAAAAGATGAGTTCATTTTAACCTTTTCTTTGCAATTCTATTCAATTGAATATTATTTTGGGGGTATCAGCAAACCTGATATGTCTTTTAACTTCTGCTTCAATCTATCTTTTCTCTTTTTTATACTTTTTTCTGTGATTAATAACAAAACTTGACTTTTGAATGTATATACCAATGTATTTGCATATCCATGTACATGCAGGTATGTGCAAAAATATTTCTTGATAAATAGGACACGAGTCTGAAGGTCTTATTCTGAAGTGTTAGCAGCAGTCACCTCTGAGGACTAGGACTGGAAGATGGTGATGGTTAAGAGGGGAACTTTATTTTTAATCAACATACTTCTGTATTGTTTGAACTCTGTATAATAAGCAGATATTGCTTTTATAATTAAAGAAAAGAGAAAAAAGGGAAGAAATTAAATTTGACATCCCTACAAGTAATATGAAGCCCTTTCATCCTTTTAAAGGTGTGAAGGACAACAATTGTGCCTCCAGGGAAATTTATTTTGTCAGAACCTGTATAATTTTTTAATCATGTAATGAAGCAGCTTGTCCTGGATTTCCAGTAGGCTTGCTTTGTTTAAGTATGAAGATCTCTGCTAATAATTGACGGTAACTGGAAGTGCTGTTTGTTAGACTGGCATCTCCTCCCCACTCTGAATGCACATGTGCTGGTTGATGTTAGTTTCCCTCACTTTCTGTAAAATTTGGACTTTTGTAACTTCTGTGCTGGCTTTTTCATAATCTCCCTTCTCCTCCATCCTGTGACAGGGATTATGTTTCCCACACAGTGCCCTAGCGCCACAGGATGAACTAAGGAACCGTGACTGTTTTGTACCTGGCAGAGCTCCAACCCTCCTTGGGGTTCTAATTATTCTAACATCGTACCCCAGAATTTGATGCAAGTTCTTGATTTTATGTGAGCTAACCAGCTGCACAGAAACTGCCACTCAGCGCGTGTCGGGGGTGTAGTGTACTTACATCCATAGATGGGAAGTACAAAAGGCTGACTAATTCAAGTATTATGATTACAGACATTCATGGGAATAAAACATTTTAAGTTATTATGCTATAACATCATGGTGCAAAACAGCAAGTAAATTGAATGTCCAGTCTTTTGATGATGGTGTAAAATCCCACATTTAATGAGAAGCGAAAATGGTGAGAGAACACACAAACACTTTAAGATGCTGCATGAAGAAGGCAGGGTTAGGGATGGCTTTTATTTGATCAATATTGAATTGCTTCATGAAGTAAAAATGATGAGAATAGACTAACCATATGTATTTCAGGGTTAGTGTGATAACTGATAATAATATTGTGGAGTATGCAGAGTGTTTGAGAGCATGGCCTCTGGAGTTTCAAATTCTGGCTTCTTCACTTATGAACCGTGTGACCTTGGGCGAGTTACTTAACCTCTCTGTGCTTGAGTTTCCATGTAGATAAAATGAAGCTAGCAGCAATAACTACCTTATGGAACTAAGAGGTTTAAAAGAGCTCATGTTTACCCAGCGTTTAGAGTGGTGCCTGATATGCAGAAGGTGTAATAAAAAATATAAATTAATAAATATAGGAAGCATATATTGAATTCTTCATGCTTGCCAGACGCTGAGCTGAGCCGGTTACAGGGCTCTAGTTTATTCCCCAGAGCCCTGTAAGAAGCCTTATGATTGTTCCCATTTCATAGAGGACAATAATAAAGCTCAGAGAGATTGAGCAGTGTGCCCAGGATGGCTGTAGAAGGAGAATTTAAATATGGGCAATCAGGCCCCAGACCCCCTGCTTCCAACTATTGTCATCTACCAAGACAGGAAGTAAAGAGTTAAGGAAATCTCAGCCAAGCCCAGCATCCAATCCATGATTTAAATTATTGTCGGTTTTATGGGTGTGGGGTTTCCTTTCTTGGGTGATGAAAAAGTTCTGTAACTAGATAGCAGGCAAAGTTGCACAAAAAAGTGAATGTACTTAATGCCACTGAATGGCATATTTGAAAATGGTTAAAATGGTAAATATGTTATATGTATTTTGCCACAGTAATAAAAATTAATTGTAAGTACAAGGCCAAGTAGTCCCTTCCTAAAGAATGGTGTTATATGTTGACTGTTAATCTTTGTAGCCAACTGCTGCAATCAGGGTGTACTAAGGCAACAACCCATTTTTTTCCTAAGGTTGACCTGTCTTTCTGAAACAGGTATTCTCCTAGATTTATTAGTATTTGATGCAGATCCTGGGTGTGATGAAATCTCCCTGTGACAAGCACGGCGAAACTGTCCCTCCTGTAAGTTGAGAGGCATAACTGTATTTTCTTCCCTGATGATAAACTTCCTTGCATATTTTAAACGCTAAAGTGAGAGAGCAGAAAAGCAGAGGGTCCAGGAGGGATTTTGTATCTAGCGAGCAATAATTTTACAAGATGAAGGCAATATGAAGCGAAATGAAATTTAGGAGAAATACTAAGAAATATAGATTACGCATAATCTATTTTTAATTTTCGTGTTTATTGAAGTCTTCGAAGAGCCCATTGACTAGTTGCTGGATTTTAAAAATTGTGTTTTTGAAATTATTCATAGTTGCGTAGCACTAAAGCTTTAGAAAAATTTAATCCTTTAGTGAAGAGGGGCTAACATTTGACAGTATGCTGTGGTCATGTTGGTTTAATTATCGAAGAGAACAAAATTGTTGATTACTTAATGAATTAATAGAAACAAAGAGACATTAAGGGCAGTATTGGCTAGGGGTTGAGTCTTTAAGAGCTAGTTTGTTTTGGTTTGTTTGACAACATTTAACCCCAAAACTGGAGAACAGACTGAATCATGGAATTTACATCTACACTATGTGTCACAACATTTTAAGAGAGGTGTGCCCTGTTTCCTTATTTTGGCCATGATGATGAGGGTGAAGGTGTCTGTTTTATTTAAAGAACTGGTGTTATTCACAGATACCTTGAGATAGTTAAATTCTATTTCATGATAAACTAATGCAAATGCAGTGTGCAAAAATAGATTCAGATACATTATCTAAAATGTGTAGCACTTTTACTGACAAAAGAAAAGGTCAAAACAATGAAACAGTCTCGTTGCTACACATGCCTGGTCATGGAGCCGCAGGCTTCAGCTAACACTCCAGGAAATTGTATACCAGAACCTCACTCTCACCCTCCAAACTGTATTTTATTCCTTAATAACTTAACAGAGGAAAGTAATGGGATGATGTTATCAGCTACTCCATTCTCTGGTTTCAAGGAACTGTTTGGTACCTGGGAGACATGATACTACTTTTGTTGAATTTCAGAATGGTAGGTTGGCTGGAGATGCCAGGTAGTCCCAAGGATTTAAGGTCTTTACTCTGTAAAGATCATCAAGCCAAGAATGAATAGATGTTCTCCTTTGAAAGACTTAGTGGTATTTATAGCGCTCCTTCTTAAACATTTAGTTAGGTCAATTTGGTAATTTTGGAAATGGGGACTAGTGAAACTAAACATTTAACTTTTTTCAGTGAAGGATTTGAAATAAGGTTCTTTAGAGACTGTTGTTGCTTTTGTTATATTTAGCCTTAGCAGACTTAGAAACATGAAAACCTTAATTTTGTATAATAAAGTTGATTTTTATCCTAAAACAAGTAGCACCCTGGCACTGCCATAATAAATTAAGCATCACTGTTTTTATAGCTTGTGAAAGAGAAAATGAGCTTGTGCAAAGGTGAGCTCCAGAGGACAATTTCTTGAGAATATTATGTGGCCTCCTCCCTCTCTTTTCTCCTTTTCTTGAAGCTGCCATTCATTTCAGAAGTGAAGAACTGAAGTACATAGGGAAGTATGGAAGGTTTCCAGGCCAGATTATAATACTTGTTTTATTATATTTTCTAGTTTTGTGAGAGGAAGACATGATAGCAGAGCCAGCTGCCAAGCTGCTAGGATGGCCTTGGAGTCAGGTAAATACCAAATGACCTTTCTTTACGTTTATTGTTGGGGAAACTGAGAATCCAGTCCTTCCAAGATTGGAGGATGTAGGCTGTAAAACAGTCCATGCTGAAGAGTGGTTACTATTTTATTTATTGTGAAAAACATACATGAGAAATTGAGTTCTTATTTTTACTTATTCGGTTTCATTCATTCCTGAGATGATAAATGTTCTATTTATGGAATAAGATTTTATGCTTTTGGAGGTTTGAATCACTGACTCCTAAATGTTGCAAGATGCATTGCCTCTCAAAATTTCGCTGGTATTAGTGTGATCTGGATCTTAATCTGACAGTCTGGAATGGTTACACTGGTTGAAGATGCCAATCTCTGCTGGAAACATGGTACCATAAGCCATAGTCTGCCACTAGTCATGCCTTAGTAATATTAGGACTTGTGATTTCTATTCAAATAGTGTAAGATACATAGGCAGTAGAATTTTACTGCATCTTTTATCATAGATATTGGGAATGGTGCTCATTAAAAGGTAAAATATGTCACATCTTTAGTCCTGTCTTCTGTCTTGGTAAAGGATACTTGATGTTAAAGATTCTCTCGATCCCAAAGAATTTTGCCAATGTTAATAGGGAATGAAGTGTTTCTTGTTAAGGTAGGATGGAGAAACCTATTTGGCAAAATATTGTAAGATGAAAGAGAAGAGAGGAATATGTCTTATCCAAGAAAACAGAAATATGTCCTAGGGCTGAACTTGGGTTGTCATTTCCATGCTGTGGATTTTTGTTATTATTACTTCAAGATAAGATGTTACTTAGGACCTGGGTCTGAAGCGATTGTTTAGTTTTTTCCAAGAGAGTGCAATGGACATTCAAAAACTAATTTTTCCGTGAGCCCTAGGTCCTTGATATGTGGTCTCAGTGCCTTGGATTTTTCCATTGTTTTTTTGAGGAAAATGTTTCCATTAAAAAAGTGGTTAGATGCCGAGGCCAGTGGATTGCTTGAGTCCAGAGGTTCTAGACCAGCATGGGCAACATAGTGAAACTCCATCTCTATTACATTTTTTTTAATTTAAAAAAATAATTAATTTGACCCTCCACTCAATCACACAAGTGATTTTCTTTGAGTTAGCCACGCCAGTATACGACGTAAGTGTTTTACGCAACTTGCCCATTTTGTCACATAGGTTATTAAGAAGGCTTGTACTTAAGGGCCAAGATTTAATCTAGTGATTTTTTTAAAGCTCATTCACCAAAGATATTCTTAAATGTAACTTCCTCCTCCTCCTCCCCCTCCCTCTCTCCCTTTCTCCCTCTCTCTTTCTCTCTCTCTCTCTCTCTCTCTGTGTGTGTGTGTGTGTGTGTGTGTGTGTGTGATTGCCTTGATTTGTGCTAAGCCACTTAGCAGTTTTACTGTGATTATTTTAGCATCAAAATGTAAAGGCCAACAAAGTGAAAAGGCAATAATTTCTTAGGTTTATCATGACAATTGTTCTTTGATTTATTGGTTTCCCTAAAAGGCTCCTTGGACTCCACTCCCCAACTTCTGGCAGGATTCTGTGGGCCATACTTCGAGAATGGCTCCAGAATAATGCTTCGTTCTGTACAGCAATCTTTTATGAAGTTTTTTTTAACCTTCTTATTTTCTTTTGTTATTAACTCTAAACTTAACTAAGTCATCAGCTGTCCTTTGACTCCCATTCTAAGTACTTTATCTGTGTGAAATATTTATCTCTAAGTGAATTGCTCAGCAGACATTCACAGTGAAAAATAAGTTAAGACTGAGGTTTTCTGAGAAGAAAAATATTAAAGCGCATTGATCCAAACCTTTAGTGACTGGGTAATATTATTGTGATCTAATCACAGTGGCAGAATGTTCCCCAAACGTTGAAGCGAACAGCTTCATAATTTTCACACTGTGCTGTGTGACAGATGGCAAAAACTGTTTTGATTTTCCCCAATATCTGAGGAGCAGCAAGCGGAGCCTGTGCCTCCCACTCTGCTCTCCCTCTCTGTCAGCTCTGGTCGGCCTGACAGCACACTGATTTCTGTCTCTGTGATCTGTTCTTTGGATGACTATGTTTTCAATAGCTACTAGTATAAAAATAAAATGTGCGGGTCCCATCAAATAAACTAATTAAGGCTTAGAAAGTGTCAAAATCCAAAAGCCAGTAGGAACAGATTAGGCACTGAGTATGAGAGTCACACAGACCTGACAAATAATGTGTTACCATGGCAACAGGAGAATCAATATCCCTCAACTGGGCAGATAGTTGACAGTAATTTTTGCTGGGTCAGAGAATTGGGAAGAGTGAAAACCACCTTCTGCTATGCAAAGAATTGCTCTCTCCATTTTAAGCAAAAAGCCTCTGAAGGATTTGTGATCCAATTCCAACCAAGTCTAGGAGAAGCTGATACTCGTGGTATTGGAGAAGGCCCTCACCATGTACAAGGGAAGCCGTTGAATCTGTATTTTCTATGATGCACTCGTTACCTTTTCTAAAATCAGGTGTAAAGACATATCTTTTTTATGCTGTAAAATGCGTGCCTAATGCATGACTGAAAGGTGGCTCATTTGATCTTTTTCTCCTGTTTATGACTAACCATAAAAATGAAGAATTTCAGTGTATGCTCTTCAGGACTGTCCTGTCACATAGAAAATTAGTATCATCCTGGATCTGGTGGTCATATCTGCTTTGAACACCCAGTCATGGCTACCAGAGAGATTTGGCTAAACCTTGCTTTGTGCTTTGTGGAAGTTTGTCGTTTAGCAGAAAGGAAACTTCAATGTTAGCATCTGTTTTTCCAAACATACTTCTCAGGCACAGCAGATTCCAGAGGTGGTGGACTTATGATAATCTCTGATCCAGTAGAAAAAGGGATTTAATATCAAACTCATTTAAAGAAAAACAATGCTTTCCACAGTGCATAATAGAACGAATGATAAATTGCAAAATAAAGAGGAAAAATATTATGATTCTGTATCAGGAGTCTTGTAAGTCCATATGACTCTTTCTCCCTTCCTCCCTCTCTTTCTTTCCCTCTCCCTTCCTCCCTCCCTCCCCACTCTCTCTTTTTCCTTTCTTTTCTTTCTTTCCTTCTTTCTTTCTTTCAACATAAACTTAATGAAACTGTTTTGAAACACTGCCTAAAAGTCAATGCACAACTTAGTTGGTTAAAGTTCCATAATGTCTTTCCTGTAATGGTTCTTGATGGTCCTCTCTAAGTGCCATAATATGATATTATGTTGAAATTAAAATATTGGCATGCAATTTTAATACAAGGGCATTAACAGAAATGTCATTGCTAACAAATGAGGCATTGGGAAATCTGCCCTGTAGCCAGAGAACCATGCTCATTTTTGCCTTTTGCTATAACTTATAAAAACAAACCTCATGATGTAAATGCCTGTGGGCTGGATTTCCAGTTGAGAGGCAGACGACAGGCTTCAGTGGGGGAATGGGGAGAGGCAGTTTTTGTTTGTTTGTTTCAGACAAAGGTTTCCTGGCCTGGGGCGGTCCAGCTGCAGCTGCTGTCAATATTGAGGCAATGAGACTATTTTTCTAACTAGATCAAAACAGAAAATTCGGTCTGTGATTCATTATATCAGAATGGAGAAGGGAGGGGATAAAGGGAGGAAAGAAGGGAGAGAGGAAGGAGGGAGGAAAAAAAGGAAGAAATGAAAAGCATGATTGTTTATCCTCCTGAAAATTATTTGCAGGGTTGCCACATTCAAATTAGAATAAACTCTATCTGGATCTGTTTCTAAGATAGGAGCCTAAAGGAATGTGAAAATAGGGCAATGAATCTCTGCTGTAGAAGTGAGAGGAGGTGGTGGGACCCGTGTTTTTTGAGAGAGAGAGAACTGCAAACCTCAAGTGTGACTGAATTCAGATCAGGCTGACAAGGAGTGCTTGGTTTCTTACTTGCTGATTATATCATGTGCTATTTTTTCCTTCCTTGGTATTTTCATGATGGTATTGATTTGAGAACAAGACTTTGGGGTCAACCAGTTGGCTGTTCCTGTTGGTATCTAGTTAACGGTAACCCTGGCTAGTGTTGCTTTTTTTTTTCTTCTCCTGTGCTTTCATCCTAGCCCCCTTTGGTGCTTGGACAGGTTTGGGGTCTGAGCCTTCCCTGAGCCCGTTGCTCTCCTAGTCTGCTGATATTGACTCCTCGCCCGGGCTGCTCTGTCGGGGTAGCTTGAGTGTATGGTGGGGGAAGTCCTGTTATTCTACAACCTGCCTTTTCCCACACATTCACTTTTACTTTTTCAGTGGAGCACATCAGCACAATAAATGGGAAAAGAAAATCAGAAAAATAAATAAAGCTGGGTACTGAACAGAATGGCTCTTGGTATTTACCTGTGTTCAGGAAATATTTGTGGAGTGCCTTCTCTGCGGCGGTGCCAGGCCCCTGGAGATGAACATATTGAGCTGGCAGGCACGGCCACTACCCTCAAAGGCCACAGCCATTGAATCCATGAGAAGACACTGATCCTGGCATTTTGATATTTTGCTAAATGTACACTTGGGATGTAGCTTATGTTATTGCCTATTTTACTCTTTTTAAAGATGTTTGAGTATTGTGTGTATGCAACAATCATGTAGAAAGATGTTTGCCTATTCCATTGGAAATGTGGCCCAATTTACCTGGTTATATAACTTATATCATCAGTTTCATAGATCACTCAGAAGAAGTATTATTAAGGTTAACAATGATAATTTTTAGGCTGCATGGGCATGATGGAGGGGTCAAGTAGCTCACAAAATTACCAAACTTGGGCTCAGGATAGCACCTCCTGTTTGAGTCAGATTAGCTCTTTCAGAATCATTGTGTATCTTTCTGAGGATTAAGAGGATTGTTCTAAATCTACACTCTGCAATATGGCAGTAATGGCTATTTACATTTTAATTTAAATGAATGAAAATGTAATTGAATTTAAAATTTAGTTCTTCATTTGCACGAGCCACATTCAAGTGTTCAGGAGCCACCTATGGATAGTGACTATCATATGG